TCAGAGGGCCGGCCTGCAGCGTCTGCGTGCAAGATCGAAAGGTGGTGTGTACGTCGGTGTCTGAGTATTTCTAAGGTTCTGCGCATGATTTTAGAGACTGAACCGATTTCTGCCCGCCCTCAGGATGTCTGACACGGTGTGTGTGTGTGTGTGTGTGTGTGTGTGTGTGTGTGTGTGTGATTTTGAGGCGGGACAAGGGACCCATTGCACACGGGTTTGTGCATGGAGTCTGTAAGTACGTGTAGGGAATAGTAAGCGCAAAAGAAAGGCGTGGGGTGCAGATGCCACGTCTGTGTGCGCATGTGTGTGATTGCCTGTGTGCCTGGGATCCGGGACCCAGCCTGGGCACCACTCTAGTGCAGACCAGCTCTGCCAGCTGCGTGGGAAGAGGTTAGGGGAGGGGAGGACGCTATTGTGTAATGTGTTGCAAAGGTAACGCCCAACTCCTGGGGCTAACTGTGGCATGGCCCACACTGGGAGTGTACGGAAGGCAAGCTCAGCCCGGTGGACACTTGGGTTGGTGCCATTGTAAGTATTCGCCCAAGGTATGCCAGGACTGGAGTGCTCTCTTCCTTCTGGGAGCTCTTGGATCGCCATCAGCCTCAGAAGAGGCTACTACTGCCCACACAGTGACCCACCCAGGAGCCTGAGGATGGGGACAGGAAAACATTCCCTCGAGCTCCTGAGAGGTGGGTGGGGCCTGAGATGGTGATGCCCCAGTCCACAGCTGCAGTTCGCAGGGACTGGTCCCCAGTGGCTCTTCCATCAAGATGGCCTTACTGGATTCCAGGACCAAGGCAGGAGCAATCCTCCTACACCGAGGACTGATGCCTGGGACGGCTCCGAGGTCAAGTTCACTGCCTTACTGAGACCCCGCACAAGGCTGAGCGAGCAGCTGTGGGGTTACCTCCGCCCCATGGTACCCACAAAACGAGGACACATGGTGACGGGCGGCAGAACCTGGGCTTCCTGCAGTGGCTGGGTCCTGAGGTCTGTCCCCCTAGCCTGGCAAAGGACCCAGGACCGGAGGGCTCTGTGAAGCCGGGCCAGGCCATTAGGGTCCCACGGCTCCACTGTGCTGCCGCTGCTTCCATCCCTCTTTGTACCGGGGCTCTTCCTGCTTCCACACCCCCTCACGGGGCAGTGAATTCCCCCAGCCCGCATTCTTCCCCTCCGCTGAATATCTAGGGGAAAGCATTACAAGTTTCCATCCATGACGAAACACTGATTTGAGCCACATGGTAATAAAAAGGAAACCGCTCCAGACCAGCCCGCAGGGGGACATCCCTTTGTACGTGATCTCTGCTTTGAAAGTGCTCACTGCTCTGCCCTCCAGCAGGGCGCCCGTTTGCCCAGCACGCCCAGCTCCTGATGCCCTCCTTGGCCAGCAGAGCCCTCGATGAGGGCAAGAGAGTTTGCCTCTTTGTGGCTGCATCTCCTGGTCTGCGAGCCTGCGCATGAATGTACCTGCTGCTTCCCACGCTCCTCTCCTGTTGTGAGCAGTCGTGAGCCCCGTCTGTGAAGGGCCATGCCGAGGGCCTGGCCGTCGGAGGCACGGGATGAGAGGGAGTGGTTTTAGCTACCACAGTGAGGATGGCAGCCTGCACGCACACTAGACCGGGGAAGCACCTCCCTTCTCACTGCGGGGCCGCCGAGCCCTTCCCGGGCATGTAGAGTATGGCCATCTAGACACAGGCCCAGAGAGGAGGAAGGGCCCAAGCCTGCAGCTCTGCATCCTGCAGCCCTGCCTCTGCTGGGTGCTCTGAGATGGGGCTTTGGGGTGAGATCCAGGGGCCTCTCACAGGCTCAGCCCCAGCCTCTTCTCCCCTCGTCTCTTCCTCCAGACTGTGGTACGGGCCTCTATGAGCCGCTCCCAGGTGGCCCTGCTGGGCCTGGGCCTGTTGTTCATGCTGCTGCTCTACGTGGGGCTGCCGGGTCCCCCTGAGCAGACTGCCTGGCCCTGGGGGGACCCCAATGTCACCATCCTGGCTGGTCTCACCCCTGGCAACTCCCCGATCTTTTACCGCGAGGTGCTCCCACTCCACCAGGCACGCAGGTGGGTGCTGACCCCAGGGTGTGGTGGAGAGGGGCTGGTGCTTGTGGGGCAGTCAGGGCTGGGAAGGGGAGGGGGAGACGGCCCTGGAGAGGGAAGGGCGGTCAACCTGAGGACACCTGTCGCCCGTCTGCCCACAGGGTGGAGGTGGTGCTGCTCCACGGAAAGGCCTTTAGCTCCCACACGTGGGTGCAGCTGGGCACACTGCAGCTGCTGTCTCAGCACGGCTATCGGGCCGTGGCCCTGGATCTCCCAGGTGAGAGCCCCCCACTGCCCTTGGGGCCAGGGAGGCCGGGTGCAGCAGGACCTAGAGGACAGCTTCCTAGATGGGGGAACTGGAGGAGCAAGAAAGCTCTAAGGAATGGGGGGGTGGGGGGTGCCACGTACTGGGATCCCAGTGTCTCAGTCAGCAGCAGTGGCTGGTCATTGCCCAAGATGACACTACAAAAGGTCTGTGTTGGAAGATTTTTTTTTTCTTTTTCTAATTGTAAAAGATATACACAACAAACTATCACTGGACTCAAATAGCAACCCAAATAATTCAGAGGCACCGATTTCCGCCTTTGAGGTAGGCGACCATTCTCCACCCCGTGTTCCAAATCGCCCCACTGCCGTGAATGTAAACTCCCCAACCATTGACAGGAACTCCTGCTCAGCCACGCATGGAATCCATGGAAGCCACGCACAGAGAAAGCTCTGCTTTCTCTAGAGGACCGCTTACTTCATTCCGGTGAAGCTCACTCGCTCCGCTTGCTTCCGGGGTGCTTGTCGTGGGTGTGTTGGGCTGTCTGTCCCCTCCAGGCTGAGTGTGCGTCCACCCTCTGTGGGTCCACACGAGTTGTGTGCACCTTTTGGTGATGGTGGAAAGTGCGTCTGTGAATGCGGGTGGACAGGGTTCTCTGCCTCTCTGCTTCTCCCTGTACGCCTAGGTGGGGACTGCGGGGCGCATGGGCATTCTGTGTTCAATTTGGGGGGAGCCACCCAGCCTTTTCCCACTGCGGCTGTACCTTTTGACATCCCCGCTGGCATTGGGCGAGGCTTTGCAGTGTCCCCACCACTTCCCCAGCACCCGTTTTAATGGGGTCTAGGCCAACTATCATAGTGGTTGGCCCTTCCTTAATGGCTAAAGACATGGAGCCTGGACACAGCAGTGAAGAGAGTTAGGCATAAGGCTGCTGACTGTGTGGTTGGCAGTTCAAACACACCTGCCACTCCACAGGGAGAACGGTGAGGCTTTGGAGACCCACAGGGGCCATGCTCCTCTATCCTGTAGGCTCCTCATGGGTTGGACTCCTTGACAGCGGATTTGGTTTTGAGTTTAATGGCTGTGTTAGGTTTCTGTAGAGAAACAAAACCAGGACACTTATGATTTTAGATAAATAGAACACAAAGAAATAAACACCTAATTAGTCCCCAGAGCCGTACAGAGGGCTCAGTTCAACTCACTTCCGTGAGACAGTTGATACACTGGCGGTCCTTCAACTCACGAGGGCTGCTGGGTGCAAGTCAAAGAAGCAGACAGCTGAGTCTTCCACAGAGCAATGCAGGCAGTCCGGCCACAGGCAGCAAACAGCAGGGCAGGTCACCAACAGTCAGCCAGATGACAGGGTCCGACAGTCCCCAGCTCAAGTGATGTCTACACCAGCAGTGCGGTGAAGGAACCTCAAACTACCAGCGACACAGTCCACGTGTTGGGTGTCCCACAGGTAGTGTAGTTCGCAAGTTGAGGCAGAGAACAAGCTAAGGCAGCCACACACTGGTCCCATTATCAGAAAGGTAAGGCTCGATGAGCCATTTATCTCTTTGCCCTTCAATTAAACTGCAACCTTATTAATCCCACGTGTTTATTGGCCAGCTTGGCACAATGAACCCACCTGTCACGATGGCTAATGATGTTGGACATCTTCTCGTGTGTGGTCATTTAAATATCCTCTTTGGTAACAATGTTTGGGCCCTTGGCCCGTTTTTTTTTTTTTCACAGAGGGTACTTTATTTTTGTCGTAAACACATACAAAGTAGATAAAATATTTCACTCTCATATAATTATCATCCAGTTTAACAACAATCAACTAGTTGCCATCTTATTTCTTTTTTTGCCCATCTTATTTCATCAGCCCGTTTTTTTTATCTAGTGGTTTCCTTGTTAAAGTTGCAGATTTAATTGCTTCTCGGCCTTCTGGCTAGGATCAAGTGTGAAGTTACGGATTTCTGAAACCATGTATTCATTCTTAGGCCTGTACCCGATAGCCAGCTCCCCCAAGTCTTCTCCCAACCTGCAGGTTGTCTTTTCATTTCATTAACAAAGTCCTTTGAGGAACGAAAGTGGTGGTTTTTTTAAATCATTTTATTGGGGCTCATACAATGCTTATCACAATCCATACATACATCAATTATGTAAAGCACACTTATATATTCGTTGCCCTCATCATTCTCAAAATTTACTTTCTGCTTGGGTTCCTGGAATCAGCTCATTTTCCTTTTTCCCCTCCCAGCTCCCCCCTCCCTCATGAACGCTTAATAATTTATAAATTATTATTTTATCTTATCTTACACTGCCCGGTGTTTCCCTTCACCCACTTTCCTGTTGCCCATCCCCCAGGGAGGAGGTTATATGTAGATCCTTGTAATCGGTTCCCCCTCCCCACCCCACCCTCCCTCCACCCTCCTGGTATCACCATTCTCACCGCTGGTCCTGAGGGGTTCATCTGTCCTGGATTCCCTGTGTTTCCAGTTCCCATCTGTACCGCTGCGCATCCTCTGGTCTCACCAGGTTTGCAAGGTAGAATTGGGATCATGATAGTTGGGGGGAGGACGTGTTTCAGAACAAGAGGAAGGTTGTGAGTTTCATTGTTGCTACACTGAACCCTGAGTGACTCATCTCCTCCCCACTATCCCTCTGCAAGGGATGTCCAGTTGTCCACAGATGGGCATTGGGTCCCCATCACGCGCTCCCCTGATTCACAATGATGGAACGAGAGTGTTTTAACGTGTCTGAGCACCCGTTTGTCTTGTCTTTTGCTGCTTGTGCGTGTTTGTTGCCATGAAGCAGTCGGTGTTTTTATCTCCTGCCTGGAAGGCAGCACTGTGGATGCTTCCCTCTCACGGAGCAGAGAGAGGCCCGGTGTCCTCCCCAGAGACGGCACAGGCACCCCTCGATGGCCCGGGTGCTGACGAGCCTCGGGCTGACTAACGTTCTCATCGTGAAACTGCTAGCCATTGCAGGACGTAGTTCACACATCACACAGGTCAATCATTTAAACCTATTGGACGCGTTGGCCACTCCTCTCACCATCAGGGCTAGGGCTTCTTCCTTGCTCTCATCACTGTTAGCTCCCCTGCCGTACCCCCAAGAAACCACTGATCCAGCTACTGCCTCCCTAGATTTATCTCCCCGGATTTCACAGGCAGAAAAACACCCGCAAACAAGAGGCAAAGCCAAACAACGCCTCGGTCAAAAAGACAACAGAAAGTAATAGAAACCAGAACAAGGGGTTAAATTTTAACCTGACCTCACCTGCCTTCTTCCCTCTCTGATAGCAAGGCTGTCCGCCGCCCTTGGCAAAGGTGAGAGGGGATTCACCCGCGACTTCCTCCACGTGGGGACTCTGAACACGGATTTGGGGAGAGGGCTCTCCCTGTCATCCGTAGCCTCCTGCACACTGGGTGCTCAGAAGTTAAGCTTGGACCCCGTTCCCTACTCTGGTCCCTGGCATTATTGTTGATAGTCCTTGAATCACAGGCTCGTGGGCTTCTTCCGTGTGGACTTGAGATACATGCTAGCACCCTTATCTTTGAGAAACATTATGCCACTTAAGAATCCAACCGCTTCACAGCCCACAGAGCCCCACACCACATTGCTCTGTCTCGCCTCCCTCTGCAGTTTGGGAGACAGACAGTTCTATGCACCACGATACAGACAGGATGTAGGCACAACACCACAGGGAGTTGTAAGTGTGGTGGGTGACCTACTAAGCAGATCCGCCTGATGCTTGGATTTCTTCCTCTACGCGTTGTCTGGTGATCATGTCCGGCCTCCACACCTCCCTCTCCTTCACGGACTCTGCCCCGTGCGCACGAGGAGGGAGGCCGGGCTGTCTGTGTGTGTAGGTGGGACATACAGGGTTAATCGAAATGGCCAGGTGGCAAACAAGAAGCACCTTTGGACGGGCATCTTGGCCTTGGAGTGTGTGGGCAAGAAGTTCCCAACATGAGATGATTATTAAACCTGAAACCCTAAACACCAACCCCCTCCGAAGCCTTGCACTTAACTAGTAAAGAATGCGCACCGTGAGCACGGTGTGTCCTTTAATGAATTACCTTGGGGGCGGATGGACAACTGCGACTCAAAGGCTCACTGTTACCAATAGAGAAACGTGACAAGACCAGGGAAGAGGAAAACAACAGGGGGCTTTCTCTAGTATAGCTACAACGTGTCGTTGATGGTCCAAAGGACACCGGCTTTTTGTCATTAAGAAAAAGACTGTGGTGAAATAGACCGTGAAAGTGGCCACCTTGACCGTTTTGCAGTGTCTAAATCAGTGACATAATTATATTCCTAGAGCTGTGCAGTCAGCACCCCTACCAAAGGGCTTCCAAAGGAAAAGTTTATGGAAAACTCTTTTAATTCCATTGTCCCGTGAGCTTTTTGAAGACCCTCTCTACTTAGTTCCAAATTGTTTTCACCCACCCAGAAACTCATTGAGCAAGGATCTCTCTCGATCTCTCTCTCTCTTCCCCCCGGGCCCCTCAGAACCACTAACCCACTTGCTGCTCTCTGCATCCTGCCTGTCACGGTTGCAGCATACTCATTCTCAAATGCTGACAAGCGACCCCTGACCCTGTGAAAGACATCGCCCATCCGCAACATCCCCGGCACTGGGCATTCCGTCTTGTTAGTGAATGACAGGTAACAGTTGTCTGGCAGGTCTGTCCCGTGTCAGAAACGAGCCTCTGGAAAGCCCAGAGCAGGCCTGCCATGTGCCACTGCCCACACCCTGTCCCCAGCCTCCCTCAGCGGGTGCCTGCTGCCATTCCTAGGTTTCGGGAACTCGGCACCTTCGAAGGAGGCCCGCACCGAGGCAGGGCGGACAGAGCTGCTCCGCCGGGTGCTGCGGGACCTGCGGGTGCACGATGCCGTGCTGGTGAGCCCCTCGCTGAGTGGCCACTACGCTCTGCCCTTCCTGATGCGAGACCACCATCAGCTGCGTGGATTTGTGCCCATTGCACCCACCTCCACCCAGAACTACACCCAGGAGCAGTTCCGGGCAATCAAGGTATAGGAGGGAGGTCCCCAAAGGCCCTGGGTCTCTGTATCTGGTGGGCCCCAGCAGTGGGAGAAGGGGAAGGAGTGGGAGGAGGCAGGCATGACTCATGTCTTATTTGGAGGAGACACGGCTTCCTGGCTGATCTTGGATGAGAGTGGCAGGCATTTGGAGAAAGTGGGGGGGGAGGGTCCCAAGGAGATGGCCTGGGAGTCAGGTCCTCTTTGAGCCCCTTGTCTCTTCCCGCAGACCCCAACCCTAATCCTGTATGGGGAGCTGGATCATATCCTGGCCCAGGAGTCCCTGCTGCAGCTCCGCCACCTGCCCCATCATTCTGTGGTGAAGCTGCGTGATGCGGGCCACGCCTGCTACCTCCACAAGCCACGGGACTTCCACCTCGCCCTCTTGGCCTTCCTGGAACACCTGCTGTGAACCCACCACCACCAGGACCCTGGCAGGGCCTGGGCTCCCAGGATCTGGACTGGTTCCACTGGATTTTGGGCAGAGCCCAGAGTGCCAGGCCCTGCCGGGATGTCTCCTCTCCTCCCACCGGGATGATAAAACACTCATTTGTCTTGCTTGGGGAGTAGTGGCTCCCTTTCCTGGCATGCCTCTCGGGGGGTGTGCTAGGAGGGCTGGAAAGGGCGCTCTTGGAGACGAAGGTCACCGCCCCTCTCAGTGTGTCCTCCCCCGCCATGCCACGGTCTCCTCGTCTGTGCAATGGGCATGGCCGTGCACGCCTAGCTCAGCCAAACCACGACAAACGAGTCAGTGCCGACTCACAGGGCCCCTGTGGGTTTCCGAGACCTGATTGTTGACGGTAGTAGAGAATCCGGTCCTGCTCCCCAACAGCTAGCTCTGAGCGTGGCTATGTTTGGGTGAGACTGGGTAAAGGGAGCCGGGGCCATCAGGGCTGGGGATTGGGGTGGCAGTTGTTGGCTCTGCCTGACCACAGGGAGTGGTGACTGGAGCTTCGCTGAAGTGAGCCAGGTATGTAACGGGGAGGGAGGGTATGGCTTAAGAATTAACGGCCCTGTCAATGAACCAGCCAGTCTGCTTGTCCATCCTCCCCCGCCCAAGGTTGAAGTCCTCCATCCCCACCCTTCTGGTTGGCTCGGTTCCTGGGTCAGAGGGCAGACTGGCTGGGGTACAAAGGGCAGCAAGGTTCGCAGGTGGGCATACCAGTGTCCACCCCGACCGAAGAACCAGCAGCGGGGCACAGAGTCGACTCCGCGTGAGTGAGCTGTTTCCCTTCCCCTCCCCCAACACACACACACATTTCTCACACTGCCGCAAGGCCTCTGCTGCGTGCAATTTCACTGTGCATCTCACGCCTTGTCGCTCACGGGTCGTGCCCGCCGGTGCGGCCACACTGGCAGTGCACAGGACCACTGGGCCCCCGCAGGGCCTGTTTGTAAATGCAACACGCACGCTCCCTTCCCTGTGCCAGGCTGCGCACGAGACGCCTGCGAGTGAGCCCTTGGA